TGCTGAACGGAGCTACTTTGGATCGCAAATGTGCTCTCTACTTGTACGTTTTTTTTAACCATAAAAGTACAAAAGCAGTCTTTTCTTTCTTTTTTTTTTCATTAAAAAATCAAGCCTTTCATACCAGTATTGGATCTAGGTTTTTTTACTTTTGATATCGTTGGATGCGCCTTTAAGTTACGTTTCCACACGCGAAAATGTACATTAGAGAAGTGAATGCTATGTAAATTGCTATAGTTCATTTATTCACACTTTTCCCTAATTCCTTCAAAGATTACAGTTCCACTGGTTTTTTTCTCTTTACCATCGATGCTGTAACGCAGTACTTCCTTTCTTTGTTCCGGCATCACTATAACTATTTAGGATAACTATTCCATCCTACACTTTGACAAATTACCTCATCGTTGTCTAGAAATAGGAGGTGTTTCATACATCAAGGGCTTTTCGGAATTACTGAAGTCTTGCTAAGTGTCTCTGCAGAAAAATCGTTGGAATTCGTTCAGGCGGCGAAACCATCTGCCCATAATGATACAGTACTGACCAAAAAATTTAGAAAAGTTACCTAGTTGGAGAACCATACTGTGAATTACCAGGTATATTGGGTGGATTATAAGTGACAGGGAATGCTTTTTGTATTATATTTATCATGTACATCTAGTTCCACTACTGATAAATAATACTTAAAAAATGATTTCTCCTCTCTGCAATAGATTTTAGAGCTTGTTTAAATGGAAGGAAGGAAGTGGTCGAGGCCTTACTGAACATTCGCGGTCATATGCTTATACAGCCAAATACGCATGATACTGTTTTGCATGCAGCCATCTCGTCTCAGGAACCAGCAATCGTTGAGATGATCCTTAAGGTAAATTTGTTTTTCAAATCGGTTCTTTTAAAAAATTAAATTTTCATAAATGCTTTTCATGGTTTTCACCTTTTTCAATGTAGAATTTTCGAGCACCTTCTTTCGGGAATGCTTCTTTTTTTTTCAGGCTTTTACGCATTTGGTAACGACGAAAAATGCGGATGGTAGCACAGCGCTACATTGGGCATCGCAGTGCGGCAATTTGGCTATTGTTAAATTGTAAGAAATATGCGTTTTTATTCATACAAATAAGTTTTTTGCAAATTATTGGATTCGATTGCTTCAATGTTATATCCTCGCACTGCAGGCGACCCACTTTTTATTTGGCCATGTTATTAATCATCAGTTATTACTTAGCAGTACGCACCACGGAATCAGCGTAGGACAACTCTGTGGGAGCCCAGTTTGCAGACATTGTGCAAATGTGCCCCCCATTCATCAGAAGTCACTATCCGAGAATTAGCGAAGTTAGGAGACGATGATCTAATTCTTGGTCATTAGAGGGACTAGAATTATCAGAATTTCAGAATTCAAAGCTGTTTTAGTCGTGAAAGTGAAACTGGGTGATGAAAACAAATGCAGATATATAGAGTATCTTCAGTTCATCTAGTTGTTTATGCCGGCGAGCCAAAATCACCATTACCTGGGTAACTCTTGTAAGAGGAGGCCCTTGTCAGCAGATTTTAGTGCGTGTTTACCATTCGGATCAGTTTCAAATCTTTCTGACCTCCACTTCTCAATAAAAGCGACTACAAAAGAGGTTTTGAAAATAAAAAAAAAATTTATAAAAACAATCTTTGTTTTTGACACGAATCAGCGTGCAGGAGCCCGCGCTTCCTTTATTGTTTAATTTTCTCCGTGGAGCACTAATTGTGCGGCCCGTGGATTGAAGAAATCTGCGAAGCTAAGCAAAACTAAATAGCGTTTTTAACTGAATGAAATATAGGAGAGGAGGGAAAATTATCGCTAAGTTGAGGGATGATCGTCCCCCTCTATGGTTTCAGTTGCTTATGGTCGGACATTTTGGGAATTTCTTTTGCATCTGTTTATTGCAGTATCTCTTTGCGGATGTTTTCTGTGATTAAGTAGCTTGGAGAAGCCATTTATGGATATGGTATGAGCCGTTTCATTTGGCGTAATTTTCCTGACTTTGATTTTGTTGCGTATTTTTCTTTGCTTTGCTAAGTAGAAGCGCGTCATTGCGCTGCTGGGGCCCATCGCTCCTGCAACACCTGTCATTTCTGTTCACTGGGGTGACGAGGGATTAAGAAAATGGGAAAAATTGAGAACCAGAAGCATAATTAGGCGGGCTGATATGATTCTTCAGTCAAAGAGATTGTGAAAGCGAGTAATTAATATTTTTCTTATACTTCTACTGCTTAGATCTATACGAGTAATGGACTAATTCTCCAGTTAGATAGCAGGCATCTTTTCCAGCTACTTTAACCTTGCCTGGTGATCAGTGTTTTGGCGATCCCAACATGCATTTCGCCCAGTGGTTCTCCGACCAGAATCATCATTGTCACAATTTGAGCCGTGGTGATACTGCTTGTATTTGCAGGCTGTTGGAATTTTCGTACGACGAAGATGTTTTAACAAAGATTGAAGATGTCTCGGGACGTTTCACATATCATTTTGTACTGGACGTTAATGCGCTAGATGCGCAGTGTCGGACAGCTTTATACTTAGCCGTTGCAAATTCCCACTATGATGTTGTCAAATATCTACTTGAGGTGGGCGCAGCTGCTCTTCTGTATGAAGTATCATTCTCTAGCCTGATTCATACCTGCTAGAATTATTTCGACATTCTTTGAATCCATTCAGTTGTTGCGCTGAGATAGCCATCTATTCGTATTTGTGGCCTTATTAGGAAAAGTGAAGTTCTGCATAAATTGGAGACTAAGAATTTCTGTTTCAACTCTTCAATTTCGTCATTGTTGCTGGTTCTAATAGGAGGAGGAAAGGGAGAGTATAAATATTGGCAGTATTTTGCATTTCATTAGAGCTGCGAATGAGAGAATGTGATGGGAAAATATTTGTGGACACTGCAATATTATAATTTATTACAAGAATGTGACATGACTTTCAATTGTCTTCTTACACATGACACTTTGTCCAGTCCCTCTATTCTACTATTTAAAGAAGCTTTTTTTCTTGACGACTGTTACTGGGTGAGCGGGTGATGTTTCATTTTCCAGGAAAGATTCTTTTTTACGATTCATTTCTGAAAACTTATTTCTGGAAGATTTTGCGTTTTTTTCTTGGCTTAAGCAATTCGCTTTCATAAGTCCGTCATGGTACTCTTGATAATGCGTGATGACAGCACTTAACTCTTATTTGCCATGAATAATTTATGATTGTTGTTATTTTTGCAGGTTGAGCTTCCGTCCATGAATACCGCCCGGAAGTGTCCGTTCCAAGTTGATGTGTATTGTAGTGGTGGCAAAACTCCGCTAATGGTTGCTGCTGCAAATGGCAACATACCTTTAGTAAAGTACTACTTTCACATTAATTCTATGAACTGATTTTAATGCTTTTTTAATAATTCGTACTTGAGTGATTTCGAAATCTGTATCACAAATAAAATGCATAAAAATGACTTATGTAGAGAAAGAGACGTATTTCAGTGCGATTATTTTTTGATTATGAAAAGCCTTTTCTGGAGTTAGGAGTCGATTCATTTCCCAGGATCTCATTTTTCTCACAGGGCACTAGTATCTTATACATTACCAAATTCACTACGTTTGTCTATACGTGTGGTTTTTTATTATTTTAATATTTATTATTTTAATATTTATTAAAACAATTAAAAAACCATACATAAATGTAATATTTGTTATTGCATATTCAGTCATCGCACTACTTTAGGAACATGTGCACGTACTGATTTTAAATAACCCGGAATACCTGGCAGGACTTTCCATCCATGAAGCTAACAACTTTTCCATTTCCTTGCTTGTTTTAAGCAATTCTGTCTTTCCTGGTAATCAGTTTGAAATGCAGTCCCGAAGCCCGTTTCATGTTCCGGAGTGATTGC